AGTTTCCGAGAAAACAGACGGGAAAATGCAAATTAAAAAGCATCGAAATGGTTTATACTCTTGGAAATCCTATGAAAACTCTAATATTTAACCAAGCTTGTCAATGAAATGTTGGAAATTGGTTCTTTGCTACTTTAGACATCATTATAAAAAGTTGGGTTGAATTTGGAATAATTAATACACATAAGTCACCATGACCTTTTAAAAGTTCAAAATGGATTTTAGGTTTTAAGTCAAACTTTAATAACAACATTTTATTTAACAGAATCAACAATAAATATGAGTTCACAATGTATGGCTATTATTAAGCTGGTTTATAATTACCATTTGAATGGATTTTAGGCCCATTTTGAGCACAATGGAAAAACTTGGTTATAGAACAATAAATTCGTGCAGCATAATTAATTTTATTTTGTTTAGATGTAAAAAGATTTGACTGTTCGGTTTGCACATTTGCACACCAGCTTGCTTTTTTAAATATTTTTTGCCACATTAAGTTGATGTTAAAATAGGGTAAGGCCCAAAGAAGCGCTCTGGGGAAATGAGCGAACTGCGCACTTTGATGGCCCAACCTCGTTCCACATTCGATTGGGTCATCGCTCACGGCTCGTTAATTTGACCAGCCGAATGGGAAATTGATACAGGAAATGCAGCCCCGATGGGCCGACATAGTGTTAACTGATAACTACTCTGCCCAAAAAAAGTTCGTGCGTTGTTCGCAGCTGTGCGGCTCTGATTAATTGTGGGTCAACACAGATGCAGATGTTTGCTTCCATATCCCATATGGACATATATCTCGCTGATCTACATATGGTTCCCTGTGTGTAATGCGTTTGTGTGTGTGTGTGTGCTTGTGTGTGACCACTGGAGCGTTAAATTGCCGCGGTAGCCCGCTTAACCGCCCACCCAGCTAACCAGCAAACCATCGGACCAAGCCACCAAACCACCAACCCACCATCGATACACTCACCTATCTGCACAGAGAAAAATTCAAAAAAAGCTACTTATGCTATTGGTTTACCATTTATAAACTTATTGCTGATTATACCAATATATTTGCACAATGATTTCTAAAATAATTCGCGCCTTACGAAGTATGTTTTTGTATATTTTCTTTACTTTTGTATTAATTTTGAAATGCATTTTTATATTTCTATATATTTATTTCCAATCACTTTATTTCCAGTGCAACTGTGGGATCCACAGCCCCTTTATCCATCAACGTAACCCAAGTAGCACAAATTGGCCCGCGGCTTTGCAGCTTATCGCGTTTTGTATTGGGATTTTCTCGTTTTGTTGTTGCTTTTTTTTTGTTGGGAAAGCGGCCCAGCGGTTTCATTTCCATTTCCCCCGGATCGCAAGCCATTTCCATTATGAGAATTGATGGCAAGGTCAAGCGGTTGGATCAGCGTTCGGAAATTTGTCTCTGGCAAATGCGCATGCGCAGCTTCGGGCCTGAATCTATCTCTACAGTAAAACCCTCCTAAGCCAGACATGAAGGAATGTGAAGTTAAGAAAAATATAAAAAGAGAAGTATGAAGGTATGAAGATATATTCAATTTATAATATATAAATCAGTTAACCAATTAAATTTTATAAATTATATAAAATACATATTATAAAATATAGTTTTCAGGTTTTAAAAAATTTGTCTTATACTAGAATGACTGTATTTCTTCGCTTCCCTCTCTTTGACTTTTGCTAGCTGGGCTCATAAATTGTTGGTAAACAAATTGTTGTTGCTCGAAGGCCTAGCAAAGATCAAGAGTTTTCGAAATAAAGGGGAAAAAGTGGGGAGTGGGAAGGAGGATGCTTGATTAATTCGATAAACCGAACGATAAATATCGCTTGCCGGTTAATGGAAGCAATCCAATTAATTTCTAACTGTTTGCGATATGGGCTTTTAACAGTGAACGCGGAAGAGGGATTTAAGCTTAGAGTGTGGTTCCTTTAATCGAAGTTAATTAATCGGAGGTAACCTGTTGTTATTTCTTTCCAAATTCCCAAAAAGTGGGATTGCTGAAAATTTACCAAAATTCGCCAATTCAAAGTTCATAACTTTTCTAATTTTGATCAGATTTTGAAGTGGCATACCTTTAAATGTTTGTAGGTTTTCTTCAAATCGAATATTTAAAAAAAAAAGTGGTGTTAATACTCCAAGTTGAGGATTTCAAGGAGAACAGGTCAGGGTTATTATATATTTCGATGTTTCCTTTCCAAATATACGGGTGTTGTGTGGCACATTTATGGGAACTGACATGGCGACAATAAAAACGTTAACACGCCTATGCCCCAAAAGAAAGTGAGGGCCGGGGATGGGAAGACAAAGGGGGGATGGCCATATTTAAACATAATTTCGTTTTTTATTATCCTTCCCTGACAAAGACGAAGCCGCACCGTAAACAAAACACGCATATATATCCATATATCCAGAAGAAGCTCGAGAAAAGGCGAAGAAGGCTTGGAGACAATGACGTTTAATAGCGGTCGCTAAGTGGAAGGCAACTGGAGAAGGGTGTACACAGAAAGAAAAATAGTACATGACATAATGAACAATTTTATGATTAAGCATTTTAACTTGAACTACATTATTTTTTATGTAAAACCAAAGTCTTATAATTTTGGACATTTTAATTTTCTAATTATAAAATGAAAAAAATAGGCCTGTCATAGAAACTTAACCCAAATTTAGTTTCATTAAACATTGTTTAAATACAAATTATAGTAAACGTTAAACCACTTATGTTAACCATTTTTTGAATGGAAGAATTTTTTCGCGGTGTAAAAAAAGAGATGATACAAAAGGAGAGAATCGAAAAAAGGAGAACAAGGAGCAGGGGAAAAGGTGAGCGATACTCGGTGAAGAGGGAAATGCCGGCAAAGGTAAACAAAACAACTGGCAGGCAGGTAAATTACAAACAGCAACAGATGAAGAGGAAGAAATGCCACAAGGCACTGAAAAAAAATTGGAATCACTTATAACATTCCATGTAATTTATAATTGTGTTTCGATTAAACTTAATTTTAACCTTACAACTTATTTTTTCTCTCTGCATTTTTCAGAGCAGAGAAAAGGATCAACAGATAGGTGCGACTGAGACAGCAAGAATGGGGGTCTTCTCCTTCATAATTTAGTGTTGTTTTTGTCTGGCTTTGGATTTGAATTTGAAAGAATTATGCGAGAGGGAGAGGGCGGAGGAGCGAGTGAGATGGGGATGCCGCCGGCTGACATGAACGGCCACACACGGTGAATAGTGTCAGGTGGGAAAGAGAGGGAAGTGGCGTGCCCCAAAATAATAGAAGGAGCGAAAGAAAGAGAGGGAGCGATTAGGAGTGGGCTCAGGATTTCCCAATTTCAACTCATAATTTGACACAATTTTTGCTGGTAACCACTTAAGTACAGTGGATCCTGTATAAGCTGAAAATTTTTGGTCATACAAAATACCTAATAAATGGTAAGAAAAATAGTTTAAAGTTCTATAAAAATGATTTCAATTTAATTTATATATATTTATAAATTAGCTTTGGAGTGTTATAAAATCATATTTAGCCAATGCCTACTTTATTTCCCAGTTGCACTATATGTTCGATTACGCCGTATTAGCTCATTTTCGATAAGATAAGGGCATTAAAGCATGATCGATGTTATAAGGCCGGTACTATCGCCGTGTTATCACTGTAATGGCCTACAAAAAAAAGGGGTGTTGTCGTTCCCTGTAAATGCGGGTTGTAAGTCGTATAAATTTTAATTATGTCGCCATAAACTAAAATGAAAACGACACACCCCTCCGCCCCCCAACAAAAAAACAAAAACAGCAACAAAACAAAAAAAAAAAAAAATAACATTTCTGCGTGCGTTGCGCTTAATGTTTTTATTTTCTTGTTTTTCGCTGTCTTTGTCAGTTTTTCGCTGGCAGTAGTTAAATTTTGTTTTATTCTTTTTTTTTTTTGGTGCTTTGCTTTTTGGTTGGTGTGCGCATAAAATTTGCATAAATTACATGCGTCGACACTGACAAGTAAATTCACTTTGAAGGCAGACAAACCCCCCCTTCAACCCCTCCTCCCCACAAAAATACCGCCGCCAGTGTTATTGCTTTATTTTTGTCACATTCAGCGGCAGTTAGTCGAGTGCTGTTTTAGGCCATTATGTTAATGAGTTTTAATTGAAGACTCTGCAATATGAGAATTTTATTTATGGCTGGTTTTTGTTGTTTTTAATTTCGGTTTCGAAAATATTTCCATTTAATTTTTGGCCTTATGTGGGCGCCAGCAGGGGGTGGTGGGAAAAAATGGAATGGGGTGGTTGGGTTGGCAAGACTTTTATGTGATCAGCAACATGTTGTCTGGGTTTTAAATTTCCATATTAAACGGAGTATGAGTTGTGTTGATGCCAAGTCGCAAAATTAAGCGGATTATGTGGGTGGAAATCACTTTTAATTTTTTGACTTGGGCTGGCAATTGTGAGGGATTTCACCCAAGGGACCAAAACCCTTATTTTATTGCTGAAGATAGAACGGAATAAGAAATCACAATCTGCTAGTTAATTCCCTAGAGACTAGTGATTAGTTAGAACAGGAATTTCACTAAATAAAAATGCAGAAAGGAAACTGAGGATTTTGTTTTTCTTAGAAGTATAAAAAGAAAATACGAATCTTTAAGAAAAATCACGTTTTTAGTGCTCAAACATGTTAACATCAGTATAATTAAAGAAAATATTTGCTCAATGCTGGTTACCAAATGCCAGCAGGAAGTTTGCAAAATTATCAGAATGAAATGCTCAAATGTTTTGTTCTTGGAATTGTTAAAAATTAGTTCAAAATATATATATTTTTACAGAAGCGTGTTTCATACTATTGGAATGCGATTAAGTTATAAAAATGATGTTCTTGCAAATGCTTTGAAGTATGAGATAAAACCTGCAAGAACCAGAAGAACTCTTTTGAGAAATATATGATTTCTTGTTATTAAATGCAAAAAATTATGAAATTCTTGGTTGGGTAATGCCCAAAATGTATTTTTGAAATGCTTTTAAACCCAAGATAAAATATATATGAACATAACTGTTATTGTTATTGTTAAATGTTATTGGTGAAAGTAGTTGGCGAACGCCTTTCGCAATTTCCCGAAAACACTCAGATTTCGGCCCCCTTGAGGCGGAGGGGGCGTGGCACCGGCCGGATCCTCATTGAGACGACCCACATGCCAACGGATGGGCATCCTGCCGGCAACCAGACGCTTGGCCATGAGGACTCCACGCTGCAAGTGCTCCTCGGAGGTGAATTGGATTTCGATGCCCCGTTTCCTTTGGCGATACGAGTACACTGAGCAGAATCGTGAAAATATCGAGATTATTGCTTTGTCGTCCCCGGGTGGATATCCATGGACGCTCAGCCACACGTTGCCCACCAGATCCTCCGAGGATCCCCGCATCCTGGCCCGCTCCACATCCTCTTCCGGCCAATCCTCGCTCTCACTTCCGCTTCCACTTCCACTTCCGCTCTCGCTCTGCGAACTTTCCTCACTCATTTTTCTTGTATTTTTTTCTGGGTTTTTCCGGGCTCACGAACGCCTTGCTTTGCCTATACTAAATTTTGAGGCTGAGGGGTTTTTCCAGGTAAGCTAAGTGGTTTTTTATAAAAAACAATGCCTCCTTTTCAGTGATTTTTTAATTACCTAATATGTTGTTCAATTCTCTTTTTATTTTTTGAAAAGAAGTTAATATTATATTTGTACACAAAAATTCGCTTGTACAAAAAAAAACTTTTTGCAAGCTTGACAAAATAAAAAGAGTTTTAAATTTCGCACGTTTGATCGTTTTTTTTTCTTTCGAATACGAAAAATTTTTTATAAAGTGTGGTTCATAATATTAAAATATATTATTGAATATGCAAAAATAAAAAGCCGAAAATGTAGTGATGAGAGATCGACATAAAAAAGCGAGAGATAGAAGGTCTGTGAGAGTTTGCAGCTGTTCAAACAAAAAACTCAACCTCAAACAAATGGGAACCACAGATAAGAGCTGTTGAGATATGTTTTCATTATTGTTCAATAAACTCACGTATTCTATTTTATTTATATCTATTTATATATAATAAAATGAAATTTTTTTTTTTTAGTAAACTATTAATACGGATAATTTCCAAAAATTATTCTGATATTTATTCCAAGCAATCTGTTTCATTTTCGTGCACTTTACGAGCTAACAAAAATCGCGTGGAGCTAGGGCAACATATGTCGAATAGATATAGCATATAGCATCCCAGATACTTCCTGCTTTTCCCCTTTATTTCTTTTTATTGTAAGTGGGTCAAACATTTGGGGGCCATGCGGCAGAATGATTTTTTTTTTTTTTTGTTTTTTTCTGATAGCCACTATCAGTGGACGGCAAACGAATAATGCCAGTGGATCCGAAATTATCATAATTGTTATGTCCATAGCGATTGAACTCTAATCCATATCGCCTCATTTTATGGATGGAATGCTCAAGTGTACTTATTACTATGCCCTCGCAGTTGTTTATTTTCGAGGGCTCTTCGTTTGTTGTTGCTGCGATCATTGGAAATTCATCGCATCCGGAGGAGGCAATCAATTTTAAATTCGATTCGTCTCGATTTGCTTTCAGTTCGGATTTTAGTTGGTTTACAAAAGCCTCCGCTGTTGTGGCTCTTCAGCGATTGAAATTCAAACGAAAAACTCACAAACAAGAGGCTTGATTCAAAATTAATTCTGGCTTTTGTTGTATACCAGGAATTTGAAATACATAATTGGGAGTCTTGTTTTACTGTATGTAAAACTTGTGTTTGCGTTCAAAATACATTTTACCAAATTAAAAATCAAATTCTAGAAAATATACGCCTTTACACATTTATTTTTTATTTAACATAAACAACTGTTTTTCTTCACTGGAACTTTAGCTAACCTAAAATAAATCCTATTAACAACTTTGCTAAACCGTATACAAAAAATGTCATTCATGGCTTATCTGAACTTTAAAAATTCCTATTTAGAACTGAGCAATAAAAACTTGAGTGTGGGTTTTTCATTGCTTAAAACTGCGATAAGCCTTAAATCGGGAATCAAAGCGAAATCTTACAAATTCGCCAGCTTTGGAAATCAATGGAAATTCCAACAGCTTCGCAAAAAGTCATAAACATTTGCAAGTTCATTAGGTCCGCTGACTTTTATGGGTGACTGTGATCGCCGAGCTTATCTGAGAATCGCCCACACAGATATTGAAATAATGAAACGCTGGATTACTCAAAAAAAAAAAAAAACAGGCAAACAAATGCATTAAGTGCATTCCCCAAATGGATTCAGATATTCAGATATACAATATCGGTTGGATTTGCAAGCCCTCTGTTTGCATATTGCTGTCTCTTTCGCTCTTTTCATTATCCCCATTCCCCTTGTCACGTTTCAATATATATTCATATATAGCATTTGTGTTTACTCTGCGAAATGGGGACGGAAAAAGAACCCACAACGTTATTAAAATCGAGTCCCAAACAACACCTAAAACCCTACACTGGAAAAAACAAACTTCAAAGGAAGGTTTTAAAAACTATTTTAAAGATTATGAATTACCAAAAAAAATGAGACTATTTGTAAGAACATTAAATAAGTTGAAGTAGACAAATAAATATGATATTCGAATATCTATTCTAATTTTAATATAATACCTATATCTACGGATTTTGATGGGTAAAATAATGCAATTATTGCCACAAGATCTTTATGATTTTGTTTATGGTATTTTAGTTGTAATATTTTAAAGCAAACATAGAATGCAGAAAATATAAAAATGTAAAAGGTTGAAGTTAATCTTGGCTGTTGGGTGAGCTTGTAATCTGATCACTTTGCATGCAAAAACTGCAAAAATTAATGGACTAAAATAATAAATATTTAAAAAAATGTATGCAATATACAATAAACATAAGAAAAACCAATTGAAAGAGGGTTTTTTTTTTGGTTGTGTGGCAGGCGTGGAATCTGATCTGTTTGCATGCTCAATTAACTCTGTGAATTCTTGAGCCGCCGAACTTCCAGTGAATTTGAGTGGTTTTGCTTAGCAGCATGGCTTAGTGGCTCGGTGGTGGTGGTGGTGGTGCATTGCTGCGGTGGTGCAGTGGTGCTGCATGGTGGGTGCCTGGTAAATTTATCGCTCTGCCAGAGCTGTCAGCCTGATGAGCGTCGACATGGCAGGCGAAAAAAAAAAACAAGCAAAAAACAGCGAATAAAGCACAGTGGCTGCTAACCCACTGCACCACCCGCTCACCCACTCACCCACTTATCGCCTCCCCCTGCCCCTCCCCCTCGATCGCCAGCACAGTGAAACCACTCAAACGCAACTACAACTGCTGTCCTGTCCAACTGAATGCTCGTTAAATGTGCTCAAATTTGAATTTCAAATGCGTTCGCCTGTTGCTGCCGTTGTTAACATTTTGCAGAAGTCACACACTGAGAAAAATTGCTGGCTATATAAATTGCAGTTTAAAATCAGATAATTTTCTGGTAAAGAATGCTCAATGGTTAAACAATTAAAAGTAGTTAAAATACTATTGTTTTGCTTCTCTCACAAAATCGCAAAATAAGTTACTGAGCTCAGACACAATTTAAAAAGAATTAAATTGGATTATATAGGATAATATATGATTATAAAGGATTATATCGATTAAATAGGAAAGAAAAAAAACTTATTGGAGTCACAAAAACTTAGGAGTCATTGTAAAATGACAAATATTTAATCATCAGTTTGCTTTCATTAGTTTTAAACACATTTTTCTCCTGTGCAACTGTTGCTGCTGCAGTTGCAATTTCTGCTGCAGTTGCATTTGCGATTTCTGTTGCAGTTGCAGTTGCATTTGCAGTAGTTGCTGTTTTGTGTGTGTGTGGCTGCCCCATCTGCCAGTTGTCAGCGGAAGTGTTGATGAATTTATTTGTCAAAATCGCATTAAGCGGTTGACTTAATGAAACCACCACCAGCCTCACCAGCACCACCAATACCACTACAACCACCGTGGCCATTACCACCGAAATGAGTGCCACCCGCACTCCTCGACTATGGCTATATATCTTTATGTTCCTGTCCCGATCCCTGTCAGTATAGTACTTTTCCTTTATGCGTATTTGTGCGCCGTTGATTGACATTTAAATGCGAACTGTCAGTGGGGTCTGGTATTCCTTTTTTTTTTTTTTTTTTTTTTGTTCTTCACTCATTGCATTGTTATTGAACTCACAATGAGATATTCCAACGATTGTGCCTTAATTAATCACAGCTGCAGCTAATGGGTTAAGCAGTACATACCTGAAAGTATAGGAAGAAACGTGTTCAATTAATATTTTGAATAGAAAAGCGGAGTTAGGAGTATTGAGTTCTGTTTAGTTGGCAACTCCAAAAGAATCACAACGGGAAAATGCAAATCTTGGGGGCAAAGCTCTTCTTTCTTCTCTTGTTTTCTTCTCTTTTTTTTGGTATTGCTGGCCAACGCAGCGGAGGCTAATTTAAATTCAAATTTAAATTGTTTGCCGTCGCTTTTTTATTGACAACGACGAGCTGCAGCAGCCACAGAAGAAAGAAAGCCAGGCTCTTCAAAGTGTTGAGTACACAGAGAATTTAAAGCTAGACTTTAAGTAACTTATGAATAAAATAATAAATTATAATTATAAAATAAAAGTAATATTGTTCCTTTAATTGCAAATAATAATAACTTCTTCGCAACAATAACATTTCATTCAAAATGTTTGAAATACAAAAACAATGTATGTTATTTAAATGATTTTTACAAAAATATCTTTCATTAAAAAGTAATTAAATGTACATAAAAAGGTATTTATTTAAAACCTAAATTGGTCAATTTTTAATTTCTTTTGTAATATCTGATTTTAAAAGTTTTTTAACAAAGAAAACGCTTCCATCTTAAATTCTGTTACGAAAATTCTTGGTAGTAATTTTGTAAGCCTGTTAAACCAATCAAGTTATACCTTTAAGTTCTTTTATCATGGAATGTAGCAATATCTTGGAATAAAACCACGAACGAAGGTCTCCCGATATCTTGGCCAGGATAAGATAGTGCTGGCCAAAAAGCAGTGGTAACATAAGAAAATAAAACCGAATTGCGGAGACAAATTCTGTGGCAGCACTGATCGTTGGATCGGAGATCGAAGTGGCATGCCGCAGATGCACGCCCCGTGATTCGCCAGTTTCGGGATTTTCCATGTGGCAGAATAATGCTGCAAGCTTTGAGCTTTGCACCCACGCTTTTTTTTTCTTTTTTTCCTTTTTTTTTTTTGCTGCTACCCACGCAATCGATAAACGCGAATAAATATTATTTATTTATAGTACACATGGAAGAACGCCCACTGGAATTGCGATTTTCCTCCAGGGACTGTCAATTAGGAGCGGTTTAAAATCCTTTGGGCAAACGATTACAGCAGATCTCTGGCGGAAATTACGAGTCCCTGGGGTTGGTATTGTAAAACATATAGCTGTCTGGCCATATAATATTTTGGTGTTTTGGCTAAGCACAAAAAAAATATTCATAATTGTGGTAAAAACTTTTGAGTCACAGCCTCTGGGGAAGGAAGTGGCTGTATAATTTGATTTAAGATTGTATGAAGGCAATTATTGCTATATGTCGCCTCTTGATTAGATTTGGAAATAATAGGGGAATGTGTGCATA